CCCCCCAAATCCGCGCCTGCCTCTGTAGGCACATATACATGCATAGTCTCCATCTGAAATAAGTTACTAAAATAAAGACGGAATATATCATTTTTCCGGAATAGTTGTTCCGGCATCCCTCCCGGCAGTATTTGATCTCCAACAGCTCCCGCGCACCGGCTCGTCGATCGTATGATTGACGTGTGACACAAATAAATGTCATGTTTACCTGTACTAAATGCGATGCCACTTACAGGTAACACATGTATATGTGTCTATTACACATGTATTTCTATGACTTACAGGCATGGCATGGTGACTGAATGAAAGCAGATCCTGAGCACGCATTTTATATTTAGCAAACCAATCAGACAGATTTATGTCTGTGTATAGAGTTAATGCCATTTTGAACATACATACATGCGGATATATTCCTTTTCCGTGTTAAATAACTAGATGTGTATCAACCATAAACTATTTACGTTCTATGGAGTTGGGAAAGGGTGTTTGTGGGAAATAGCGGATAAGAAAAAGGGAACGTTGACATTTTCACTTGACACTTTTCGTAAATATCCCTCTACCATTGTTAAGCCTCTTTATGAAGCGAGAACTTTGCTTAACGAATAGTGGCAGTATTTCGAGGTTTGTGTAAACAACCTATTTCTACATTTTTACATGGTTTCTAGCTCTGTGCCCCTTTGGATGTTGCGCAGGCTAGGGTAGATCCAGATTGGTTTTCTGGGTTTTCAGGAAGGCCCCAACTAATCTCAAACCCACTATCAAGCACCCTCGATCCTCAGTCCCCGACCCAACCCTCGCTTGTGATTCGTCATTCAAGAAATACAGTATGTTTTCCCATTTAGAATCTCTCCAATAAACTTTGAGGATATGATTTTGCAAAGAAGTACTCATATCATGTTCAAGAACAACCTCTGACCCATACAGGCCGATGGTCTTCAACGTTACATCTATGACTTCACAATAAAGATAACGGCACACACACCGGAATTAAAATGCTAGTTCATTTATGATACTGTGAATGCAAGGTATCGTTATTTCTTTATGTCCCTTGTATGATCGCTGAACGAATTTTCTCTTTAACACAAACAGTCAGACTTATGTACACTGTACAATGTACATGTAAACAACAACCTTATACGGCTTTTTCACCTTCTGTCGCCAAGACCGCTTTCAGTAGAGAACAGTGCAATCAATGTTCCTATATAACGTGGACGTTCAATACTTTTAGTCATTCAAATTAGGAACAGAATAGGGAAAACCTTTATTAAACACTCAGATAGAAACAAACAGTTCATGAGCAACATACGTAATACATAATAGACAGCACTGCATTAGGTAAGTTAGCCTGGAGACTGAAATGTTTGCATAACACATTTCCGAAAGTTACAAAAGTTTTTCAACAATTTCATTTTAGTTACATGTATACAAAATAGTTAACGGTACTAAATAGAGTTTTGAAACTGGAAATAATATCCGGGAATATATTTACATCTTCCAGTACAAAAAAAAGCTGCATTCAAATACATAGTGGTATTCATCACCAATAACTTGTTGATCACAAAGGGAACATATACGTTCATCCCTAGGATTAATTCCCCATCTACCAACTTCAACAGGAAGTCGTTGGTCACATGATAGTGATCTAGCTTTACATTCTTTTAAACATTCCGTTGTATACACTTTTATCAGAATGATACACTGTAGTATGCCATAGTTGTAAATAACCCGAGTCAGGTTCGTATTATGTAATGGACAACCATACGAAGCTGAAGCCAGTTTCATTGAAAACATTTTTAACAAAAGTTGACCATTTATGGGTATAAGAACCACTTATATGATCGGTAAATATGGCTTTATACATACGGTAAGATAATTTTTATTCTTACCATTTATATATTTAAGCCAGAAACCTTTAAAACGATTGTTAATATAAACTGTTAAAGGAAAACGACACAAACCACCTTTTAACATGTGCAAAGGTGTACTTCTTTCAACATTAATAATACTTCGAAGAAAATCCGAATGTACTTTTTCAATAATTGAGCAACTTCCATAACCCCAAATCGCACAACCATATAACAGTATTGGTAAGTTTGTCAGATCAATAAGTTTAATCTGACAATCAATTGGCAAATTTAAATTCAGGATCCTTGATTTCAATGAAACATCACCGTAGTGGCCTGATCGTTTATAATTATGCTTCATTGCTGATGAAAGGGAAAGTTTTAAACTGATAATGATTGCTACATGTCAATTGCTTTTTCAGCAAAGTTATGAACACATCTGTTGTTATCTCGAAATGTAAACTATATATACCGATCAAATAGAAATCAAACATGATTACACATCAAAGGGATCAATCTCCGAAAATATAAAACAAAATGTTGGGAGAAAGTGTTGCATATACGGTTTACATGAGAAGCCAATTTAGGACGTGTTTATCACCTGATCAAGGAACTTTGTAAATGTTTCAAAAACACGTTTGTCAACGTCATCTGAGTTCTAGAATTACGCTTTATAATGTAAGATTGTTCTTATATGAAGTTAGATAGATGAAACGCTGTGCACAACTTAGGGAAATATATAATGTACCTGACGGATTGTTTACGGAACTATCGCCCTTTATATAACTAACGTCCGCGGCTCCTTTTTTTCCAAGGAATTTGTTATATGTGTTTTGAATTATTTTTATTTAATACCATTTCTTGCACATTTAAGTGAATTAATATTTTACCATAGTAGCATACATGTTAAGTATAGGCCACTGGCCTGAGACTTGTATGCCCATCATCATGTAGTCTAATGGCCAGTACAAGCTAGCCTACTGACCGGCACAAGGAGCCCGATATACTTAAGTAAAAAAGGTTGTTCACCATGTATCTTGTCCATTTCGTCTACCAGTAAATTACCAAATAAACGGCGGAACGGAACAAGAGCAGTGATACTAATAGTTTACCTAGCTCGTCTTGTCCATTTTCCGGAACACCCCTCTTCGACATGATATGATCTTGTTAACAAGTTTTTGTTTTTACGTCTTCGAGCTTAATGGCTGTTAATAAGGCATTACCGTTAATTAATCGTTCTAAGCGAACTTTGGAAAAGTATAAATACGGAAACAGGTTCAGATAAGGGTGTACTCTCAAGTTACCAGAATACGGGAAACTAACAAAAGGGCTGTTATTGAGGAACAGTTATAACTGGAACAAAACGCAAGGTAAATGTGTATTTGTATCTGTTTAATACTTCTGAATAGATCAAGTATCATGTTAATTTTATATAAATGAAACCAGACATCAAATTGTATTGTGTAGGATCTAATGAACGTATGACTGAGTTTGCTTCATAAATAATACAGATTCGTTGTTATCACAAATACTTTTTGCATTAATTCAGAAAGGATTCATTACAGTTATAGTACAATATCTTAGACTGCCTGTTTGTTTTCCTCATTTTCCTGTAATTAAGCTTTAAGATCAGAATCTGTATACATGACTTTAATAAGATTTCTTTGCACAATAATGTAAATATATTATTCTATCGAACGTTTCTGTGACAATTTACATTTACATGTGTACCGCCATCCTTTCAGAGTACCAAAACCACAGCAGATATGAAGACTTCGCTGATAATTTTGACCGCTTTGTTGGCTGTCACCTTTGGAAATGATCATTTCGGTAAGAATTTATATGAATATTTTTTTAGATATCAAGGTAAACAATCGCGCATGTTCCGTCTTACTCTAAGAAAATTCATCAAAATCAAAATTCCTGAAAAAAAGACGTACCTTTTAAAAATCATCTTTTTATATTTTCTCCCGTGTGCAACTGTTCCTAGTTGTGTTCCGGAAAAAAATGTTTAGAATAAGTAACAATTACGCCTGATATTTCTGGAAGCCGAACATTCTGGAGTATATTTGTAACATGTATACATTCATACGAGCAAAATACTGCCAAACATTGTTATCATAGACTTGTACACAACGAATATCTCGTCATTTTGATTTTTTTATCATTGATTTGAAATTACACGGAAAATAATTAAAGTATTACCTATGTTAATGCCACGACACGTTTGTAATATGCGACGGTAAATACAATTTCTTGAATCTTAAATCTTGAAACATTGTGAAAGGTGATTCAACTATGGCTTGATATCATTATAAACGGTGCTACACAGACGCAGGTATAAACCTGTTTTTTTTACATAACGTTTCACTTGTAGACGACAATGGTTTCATTGACGGTGGTCAAATTATCGGTGGAATCGGGGGCATCAGCGATGGCATCGACCATTTCGGCATGAACGGTATCGACGATTTTGGTAATGGTGGTTTCATTGGAGGCGGTATAGGTGGACATGGGGGTGGAATAGGTCACGGGGGCATCGGAGGGAGCATTGGCGGAGGACGAATTATCGGAGGGGGGATAGCAGGAGTCGGAGGAATTAGGGGTATTGGGGTTGGTCATGACGATCTGGGTGGCATGGGAGGTTTCGATGACATGGGTTTTGATAATGGACGCGGGGTTGGTATAATTGGAGGCGGAATCCGGGGTATTGGGGGTGGACACGGGGGTGGTATAATTGGAGGAGGAATCGGGGGTATTGGGGGTGGACATGGGGGTAGTATGATTGGAGGAGGAATCGGGGGTATTGGGGGTGGACATGGGGGTGGTATGATTGGAGGAGGAATCGGGGGTATTGGGGGTGGACATGGAGGTGGTATAATTGGAGGAGGAATCGGGGGTATTGGTAGTGGACATGGGGGTGGTATAATTGGAGGAGGAATCGGGGGTATTGGAGGTGGACATGGGGGTGGTATTATTGGAGGAGGAATCGGGGGTATTGGGGGAAGGCATGGGGGTGGTATAATCGGAAGAGGAATCGGGGGTATTGGGGGTAGACATGGGGGTGGTGTTATTGGGAGTGGGATGCTCGGCGTCGGTGGCATTCGTGGAGGTATAGGACAGATGGGACCGTACTACGGAGGCTACGGCAGGACAGGCGGCGTCATGGGAGGAAGTAAGTACTTCGTCTCACCTTATATTATTGTAAAACATATGTGTACATTGTAATATTTGAATTCGAAAAGAGTTGAAGGTGTCTGAATGTAATTTGCTTGAGATGAAAACTTAATAATTCGAACTGGTACATAAGATGTTTCGGAGTATCAAACTTAATCAATCCAGTGCTTATTTCGATAATAATGGGAAGAAAACGAAAAGACTACATTAATGTTGAAAACTTCAGGTATGCTGGCGTCTCCAACTTATTTTGCTTTTGTTATTTTAGTTAATACCAATACCGGAAGGGGCGGAGTAATTGGCGGAGGGGTACGCGGGTTTGGAGTTGGACGAATAAATGGCGGTTTTGATGATATGAGCAAAGGTTACAGCAAAGGGTACAGCAAGGGATACAGCAAAGGGAACGGACCTGTAATTAGACAACGTGTTCTTCCCCGAGTTCAGCCAAGGATCCAGTATCAACCACAAATCCGCATGCCCTCCTACAATAGAGGTAGGGTTTTCTGTATTACTCTGTTTTACTATTGTGTTCGTCAAATTCAGGATCACACTCTTTCTAAAAAAATCTGCCTTTTCAATAAATAAAACAATTAAACTGATTTATACTAATTGAAAATATATTAGAAAACATGCATTAGTTAAAGTAATGTTTTGATCCAAAGTGGAAAGTCTAACTAAAACAACCGCACTAATACGGTGTAGGATAGCGTATAACTTAAATACCCAATGACTAGGAATAAGAAAGATAATTTTATTTCCCGTTCTAAGATAGATATTTGATTTACAAAACCGCTTTGAGTGTAGATATTCAACTAATATGATGTTTTCCTATACTATTTGTTTTTCATAAAAGTGCATTATTGCATAATGTATATATATGTAGGTGATGTATTTATTGATGTTCGAACATTTGTTGGCCCTTATGACCGTTGTAATAATAATACTAATAGTAGTATTCATTGATAAAATACTTGACAATATATTAACATTATTTACCTAAAACAAAAAGTCAGGAAAAATACTTTTGCAGAAATTTTTAATATATAATCGCTACCTTTCTTAAAATGTAAATGCAGCCTTACTAATTAAACACATTATCTATTCTCCTATACTTATCGTACTGTCCTCCTCTTTACGAACAGGAATCGCTGGAATGGGAAGAATGCCATACACCAAGGGAGTTCCATATCAGTCCCGCTCTCTAGGGATCGGTGGTTTCCGTCGCCCCTCGAAGGGAATGGGAGGAATCGGGATGGGAAGTTTGGGGGTCCCGATGTATCCCCAGAGGACCATGACAAGGGGCAGCCTCAGTTTCGGAGCGAACAGACCTAGTTCCAAAGGCTATTCAAAGGGCTACTATTCCAAGGGGTACTCCAAGGGTGAGGCTTTTATCTTTATATTTTTAATTTGATTTCATTTCATTTTAAAAAATATACGGAGCGTGAAAATATCGCATGGAATCAAACATAAATGTTACAGCGAATGCTGCAGAATGGATATAATGCGAATGCATTGCTAGTTATTATCCCATTGAATTGATATTTACACAAAAAAATATTCGCCAAAAAGAATGACGGTTCATTTTTGTTTGTAATCCTATTGCTTTGTTCTGTTTATGATGTGATTGATAACTGTGGTCCACATTTCATTCCATTGACAACTGTGGTCCACAGTTCATTCCATTGATAACTGTGGTCTACAGTTCATTCCATTGATAACTGTGGTCCACAGTTCATCCCATTGACAACTGTGGTCCACAGTTCATTCCAGTGATAACTGTGGTCCTCATTTCATTCCATTGATAACTGTGGTCCACAGCTTATTCCATTGATAACTGTGGTCCACAGCTTATTCCATTGATAACTGTGGTCCACAGCTTATTCCATTGATAACTGTGGTCCACACCTCATTCCATTGATAACTGTGGTCCACAGCTTATTCCATTGATAACTGTGGTCCACAGTTCATCCCATTGATAACTGTGGTCCACAGTTCATCCCATTGATAACTGTGGTCCACAGTTCATCCCATTGATAACTGTGGTCCACAGTTCATCCCATTGATAACTGTGGTCCACAGTTCATCCCATTGACCACTGTGGTCCACAGTTCATTCCAGTGAGAACTGTGGTCCACATTTCATTCCATTGACTACTGTGGTCCATAGTTCATTCCATTGATAACTGTGGTTCACATTTCATTCCATTGATACCTGTGGTCCACATTTCATCCCATTGGTGACTGTGTCCCCAGTTCATCCCAGTGATGACTGTGGTCCACATTTCATTCCATTGATAACTGTGGTCCACAGCTCATTCCATTGATAACTGTGGTCCACAGTTCATTCCAGTGATAACTTTGGTCCACAGTTCATTCCAGTGATGACTGACTGTGGTCCACATTTTATCCTATTGGTAACTGTGGTCCACAGTTCATTCCATTGATAACTGTGGTCCACGTTTCGTCAGTGTTTCAGTGTTTGATTCAACATGTTTGCATCATATCAAAAAGCAAAATTCTACAACAGCGCGCAGTCGTTCAATAACTTACAAATGTATGCCTCTGTGTAGTTAGTTACATGTGCGATAACCACAAAACTGAATTTTAAATAAAGCTACGGTTTAGAGTTTTATAATTTAATGCGTGTCACCTTATTAATCTGCCTACAAAGTCACCGGTTATAAACTGCGCTGGATAGTGAAAGTTATAATAGAAAAAGACGGGTAATATATATTTATATCCAAATGTGGTCTACATGTTCCGTTTTTGTAATATGTAATATGTGATATGTAAAATGTATATGACAAAACCGATCAAACCAAATCTGTAAGGTCTTTGGACAAGCATCAATCTCTGTCTCTCTTCTGATACAGGTAGAAGCTATTAGACATGGTTGACGATGTCCCGCCTCAGGCGGAGCAGACGACAGGAGCAGACGACATCCAGTGTCATGGTGACAATGGCGTATATTTCCATTATGACTGGTCACTTCAGGTGATCAGGAGTTCAACGGACAGGACCTAGGTGTTGGATTAACGACACTTTGATTTATGGCTTACCGACACAAATGGGAAATCGTGGCTGTAAATAAGTTTCTGGAGCACAACTACACGAAACTGTGGCTATATTTACACCGATACTAGACAATACATATAGCAGGATTATCTTATACGAATTATGATGTCAGAGGAATTATACGTAAACATTAATTTTGTATGAAAAGCTATGTCTGGAAAATGAATGCATTATTTCTTGTATTTACATTATTATTCAATTTTTAAGATATATATGGCAATTTTAATCACATAAACACTATTTTTATCAATATACTTTGTTTGTTATTAACAATGTACTCCACCCATATGTATATAAACATTGATATGTATGCATCTTATTAATAAAGGTTAATTGCATTTTATGTATATGAGTGTCTTTTATGTCACTTCACTTGCTACCAAGAAAGAGATTACTGAAATGTTTTAGTAGACATAACAAGGAACCTGATTGACTCACTGCATGTAGCACTCACGTGATCATCTTCGAAAATTGTTACTGATTAATTATTTTGCACGAAGCTAGAAAGAAAATTGGTATACTTGAAAAACTTACTCGTTCTTCATTCAAATAAATATTTAGGTTCTTTCCCCTTTATGGAATTCTGAACTGTTTGTTTGAATCAAGTCTTTCCTCGTATTTGTCCACATAAAACATGGATGGAATTTGCTACACAACGGACGGCCTCTAATGCTGTGTAAAACTCAACTTTATATATTGATGCTGGCAAAAAGTATCGGTGAATCTCTTATTTCTTATAAAATATGAACATTCTAAATTCTTCTACAAAAAACGCACAGACCTTTCATCACATTTTATTAAAATTGATGTTTCTATAAGCACAGAGAATAACAAGTATTAACTTATTCCGCGATAAGGTTAAGAAATGCTTTAATGTTCATGTGAATATTAATCCTCAGTAATTGCGTGAAGTGTCACAACAAATCCGTTTTTCATCAACAACAGGACTTCCTCAAGCCATTTGCTCAGAACGAAAACAACTCTCATTAAGGGGGACATTTTAAATGACAACATCGTCTGTTTATCAAAGCGTTCTGCTGCCAAAATGACACGTTGGAATCCTTCTTTGGTGCTAGACCGAAGTGAGTATGAAAATGAAATGATAAAATAAGATGGAAAGTGGAGTTTGAACGTTGTTAGCGGTAAGACAGGTTGAAATTAAAACAAGGGACAGTAAACACATTCACATAAGTGAATACTCTTATAAAAATGCAATGTCTTAGATCGTTTACTAATCAGTTGGTCTTTGTTAATCTTTCTTTAGTTCCTACTTTGCCTCGATGCCATCGCGGTCTGACCATGGGTTTGTTGTACTAAACATCTTATAGGTAGACATTCATTGACAACTAAACAAAAAGCATTTATCGGACATTTTACACCTGGGATCTAGCTCATGATCTTCAAATCAGTTTATATCAATTAGCTTAAAAAAAATCTCTGCTTACTTCAGAAAATAATAACTAAAGTCTAGTGGCAGAATTCTGCAATACACATCACCGTGATACACATATGAAGCGGAGTAACTCTAGTCAAAAGTATATTAGTTCTGGCTTTCCTATAGCACAGCACTATTTTTCTCTGTAGATCAGAAAAATATTACTGTCTATTTCTTGAGATGGAATGACACCTCACATGTCCTCCCTTGCCATGGAAATTGCGTCGAAAGCTGAAAAGTGTGCAGTTACTGTGTTAAGTAGCATGTAAATGATCGGTGTAGTGAAAACGATAAATCACTCATGCCTGATGCTGACAGAGATATTACCTTGTCTACTTCACAGCGAGCAGACATAGTCTATTAACCTTATAACTCTTTCTGTAAGATAGACTCATCCCAAATGATACTCCGGTCATTTGAGGTGGAAGAAATGGCTCTTTCCCATGGTATGACACGAGGGGCGGTTTGCGCATCCATTTACATTACTTGTTGATAAGTTTTTCCGCCGAGTTACATCATGTTATAAACATGTGATGCCTTGTTCATAATCAGAATGTTACTAACATGTTCTACGAACACTTCTTAAAATAAGTTTACAGTGTAAATTGTAATTGACTCTATAACATATATTGGCCTAGTATTGCTGCCCCCTGATTTCGCACGCATACAATTTAGTGATAGGTCAAAGGAATGCTAACAATGTTTCGCAGAAACTCGTTTAAATTACGAAATTCGTTATGATATCAATAACATATGGAAAAAATGGTTTTTGTTCTTGCTATGATATCAAATACGTTGAAGTTGAACGCTGTTCTAGGAATGTAGTTTTATTCGGCCAAACAAATACGCTGTTTGCATATACAAAGTAACTAATTATATCAGGTTTCACATTCTGTTTTCTTTCGTTTATTGATATATAGCTACATTTGAACTTCGGTAAATTTGACCTAATTGCCGTCGCCGATTAATCAGTACACCAATCGCTGCATTACATTTTGCACTAAAAATGTTACTGTATTAACTCTTGAAGTGCTCAATAACAACACAGTATTATGTCACGCCACATATCACCATCCATTGAGACGTGATACTAATTAACGACGAACATTCAGAAACAAATACCATGTGTTAATCATTGGTATCAAATCACGCTTAAAAGCCTTCATACTTTCCATCTTGTTAGCCTTTCTTTGAAAACGATTATTTTCTTTTATTGAGAACAGATATCAAGGGGTTTAAAAATAAAGAAATATATATATAATGCGATAGCTGCATTCTGCTATTTGTAAGCATATTAGTAAGTGTCTCTTCCATTCATTGAATTTACAGTTTGTCCTACATCAAACAACTGTGGCACTTCGTGCAAATACAAAGGTAAATTATTACTGTAGATTTTGATTTCTTTTTATAATTCGCTCTTTGTTTGACTTTATTCAAATGTATATGCAATATTGTTAACACAAAAGTACAAACTGAGGAGAAACCTAAAGAAAATAGAATGTATCTAGAGCCAGATTACAAAATGAGGAGGAATTGTTAAAACGAGGAGTTAGTTCAACCAAAAACAGTCTTCCGTTTTTAAAATTCATCTTACCTTATTCAAAATGTTACAACATATTAAGAAAGTATATACATGTTTCATTATTCTGGTCGTGTATTTGATCACCGTATATTGTCAGCTTGATATGAGAAGTGTGACATATTACACAACAGTCGTCGAACCTGGACACGGTATCTCCATTCATACAGTCCCGTCTGTCAGACTGCTGTCAGCCCTACACTCGTACCTTTGTGACGTACACTCGTACCTCTGTGACGTAACGCGACATTACATCCCGTAATGGCTGTGTGAGAATTGCTCATCGAATATATTATTATATGAAAACTAATACTGGAATGGAATTAAAATACACATCTTCCCTGGCAGTATTCCAAAATAAAACAATGTTGTGGGACAATAAAACTAATTAAAAACAATGTACAAGTATTGTTGAACTTCACTGCTCTTAATATGTACAGTGCTATATTGTATTATTAGAGTGTTTGTGTGATTTGTAAATGTAATGTTCATGATATATTGAAAAACTTAACTTCTTATAACATGTATTACTGATTTAAGTAAATATGTTCACTAGTCTTGTATTTGGTGGCTTAAAAAGTATTATGTAAATGAAAGGTATTGTAAAGCATACGTATTGAATATTTCACTATAAACTCATACTATTTAGTGATGATTATATCTGTATTGAACATTACGTATGTAATGATTGTATCGTGTGTAAACAACTTAAAATTGGATAAACATACAAAAAACATACATATTTATATTCATTAAAGTGTAATGAAAGCTGTATTTGTATTAGAGTTTATATGGTTCGATGTGTATGAATTGCGTTATTGAAAAATATTGATTCATTTCGTTTTTCTTTCATTTGTTTTTCAATTTTCGACTGAAATATATTTATATAAGGTATACGGCACAATTCATGAGAACTTATTGACATCCTAAATTTACCAATACGTGGTACCCTAAGATGACAAATATCTATTTACATGAATGCATAACATACTTTATTATAACCAAAATTATAATATAATAATTAAATTGCGGTCCATCGAAAGAAGTGTATTCATTTACATATGTTCTGAATGGAATTAAATATCCAAGACACTCGAACCTTGGAAAAGGATATGCGTTCTATTGATGAAAAATGACACTTGATATTATTATGAAATTTTCACTCAGATATCCAGTAACGGATCTTGACTTGCTTTGTAATCTAAATTATTTTTGTATGAATTATATTTCATTTAGATGTCTCAGTATTAACAATAGGAAACCAAAACACAGCGTCCTAAATTTTAACTCATCTAAATTTCTGTTTCCTATACCCGTACGAATTTTGTTGATAGATATGTTTCATCAGGCCTAGGCTAAAGTAATATTGAGGTATTTTGATAGGAGTGAGGACAAAATGTTAATCTGATGAAATTTACTTTTTTTCCCCAAAATATGTATATGAGCATACACAGATGTTATCTTGTCAATTATATTTAATATGCTTATCACGTGGACTACCCTATGTTGCGTTAAAATATATCAACTGGTATTAACAAATTCAGACAAATGTATGCCAGTAAGTCTGAATTTTATCTACTTAAGTGTACATGCTAACTAAATGAGTACTGTTATGATATGCCGAATTGTTTCCACATCGACAAAAAAGTTTGTATTTGTTTGCTCTTTTTTTAAATATTTTTTCGTGTTTTAATCAGCTGAAGTATACAAATGAAGTTAACAGGTTTCTATCGTTCATCACAGTTGACCTTAAAACGAATCGGTATTACGGATTTTCATTCATCATTAAGTCCATCGCTTTAAAGGCCTTTGCTGTTGCTAATAAGTACTACTCTAAGCAGAAAAGCAAAATAAATCTCCCAACATTCATTCAGCCGTTAATGTGGATTTCCTGATGGAATTCGAAATACCGATATTTAGTATAGCGAGTAATGTTTTGGATCGAGCGTCGCCAACGGGAAACCTTTCATATTTTATTTCAAGGGACCGCCGACATCGGGCTATCTAACTACTTCGCCGGGCTTTAAACAGTTAATATCGAAAATTAAGAAAAACCCAGATAAATATGAAAAAGATTAATGTTTTCAGCCATAAAAATGAAGAGTTCCATTTTATTGCAACAATTCTATCATATTTACATGCAAACCCTACTGAAGAATATGAGGAATGGAGCTTTTTCAGCAAACAAAATTGTTGAAATTCAGCAACGTTTCCAAATAATATTAAAGCATATATTCCCTATTTTCAGATAGAATAACATTTACACGAAATATATTCAGCAATAGATGTAATAAAGCCATACGTATTTAAATCAACATTTACCAATGTAGAGTGTTCTATCCATTTATCTATGTGCTCCCATTTTTCTACTTTAAAAACATATTAAGTTGTAAAAACACTGAAGAACATCTAACATTACATTCATTGTCTTACAACGCACCTCTGTATTACGTAAACGTTTCACTTAATTCTCTTGCCATTGTCCGGAGGGGTTGACCAGTGAGAGGTTTGTCTGCTCTGCCCCTATATAAGACAGACACGGACACTGTTGGACATCATTCCCTGACTGGACAACCCCTGAGGAGGTATGTACTACTAATCTTGTACCGTTACTTACACATTATCATAGGGACGATATTATCTCTTTTTAGGTTTATGTTTTAACTCTAGTGTTAGATATCTAACACTAAAACAGCATTTGTAGACTGTCTATATTGGACTCCACTGAATGCTATATACCATTGACTATATGTAATTGGGAAATGAGTGACTGGATTTTTTATCAAATTGGTTTTACTAATGCTAGTTACATATATATATTTATTTTTTTAAGAGAAAAAAAATAGTTTGAGCAATTTGTTACAAAATGAAGACATCGCTAGCGCGAGGAGGATTAGCATGATAAAGAACAGTTAGACAGTTAGGAGCTTGGAACATCTTTCTTCCACATTTGTGTATGATATTGTCGTGTGACTGAGATCGTCAGGTTCAGGCTGCGTCAGAATTTGTTTAAGTTGGCAAAATATTTTTTTTTACTTTGTTAGAACCGTGAGACTTTATTAAAGCATTAAACTTGAAAGTTATTGAACTGATTTATTGTACTATATGAATTTGGCGTTTTTTATTTTGATCAATTATGTTTGGTACTACATCACAAATGTTCGCAAATTCAATGCAGAAGAACAAAGTCGAAGGAGGCTCATATTCAAACGGTTACGATTAACATTTGAATCCATCAGAATATAGGAAAGTGTTAATCAATCACCATGTTATTGGTCTTATTATTATCGCGGTAATTAATGGATAGATCTGGAAGTTAACAAATAGTAGCCACTATGGTAAACATGTGTTTAAACATACGCATGTTTCTGTTCATGTAAATAATTTTGGTGGATATCTCAATTTCTCGACACACGTTATAAGCGATCGCCCTACTTTTGTGACAAAAGTATATTGTAATCTAAAAGACATACACAGGAATTGAGGATATCCTTACATGCAATGCTCTGTGTAGAGCTGTTTTTTTCTAAACTATTTGTACCGGTATTCTTTTGATAATCAAGTCCAAAAAACCATATGTGGCTGATATTGCATGTGTTATTATGATGTTAGAGCTTAGTTACACATAAGACATGTGAGTTACAATGTACGTGATGAATTATCATGACACTTTGTCTTTGTTTTCACAGATAGATCAGCATGTTTGCCCTTGCTATCCTTGCCTCCCTTGCTTCCGTAACCCTAGCCAACTTTTATGGTAAGTTTATTTAAAATAGTGCATTATCGTATTCAAATCAGTCAATCGCAGTCAACAACGATACCTAGATCTTTTGAAAGCGAATGAACCCATTGTGATTTTATTTTATCAAAATACTGCGCTGGATTGATTGATATTATTTCAATGAACATTTTATAATGATATTTTCTACAAATAAATATCTCTGTTAGCTTTGCTTGACAATATGTTGCGATATACCTAGCAAACCCTTATACATTGAAATTTAAAATTTTATGATATCATGTCTTATTTTAGGCCATTATCCGATGGGGGGCTTCGTCGGTCATAGAATGCATCACGGATATCCCAAAGGCGGATTTAAGATTGGTGGCGGGTATGGTGGATACAGGAAGGGAGGATACCACAAGGTGATGCACCGTCCAGTGATCGGAGGGTACCCCAAGGGAGGCCACATGGTAGCTATACCAATCATCAAGGGAGGTTACAAAAAGGGGGGACACATCGGAGGATACCCAAAAGGAGGATTCATCGGAGGAAAGGGTGGTATTCTTGGTGGATACCCTAAGGGTGGAATCATCGGGGGAAAGGGTGGTATTCTTGGTGGATACCCTAAGGGAGGAATCATCGGAGGTCATGGCGGTATGATTGGTGGATATCCTAATGGTGGAATCATCGGAGGTCATGGCGGTATGATTGGTGGATACCACAAGGGTGGAATCATTGGAGGTCATGGCGGTATGATTGGCGGATACCCCAAGGGTGGAATCATCGGAGGACATGGCAGTATGAGTGGTGGATTTATCGGAGGCAATGTCGGTGGACACATTGGAGGACATATTGCCGGCGGAAGTATTGGAGCTGGACATATCGGAGGCAGCTCTGTTGGAGGCGGTTTCAGAGCTACTATCGGTGATGACTTTGGAGTTGTGTCGTCTAATGGAGGAGGAGCGTTCGTTGGAGACGAGTTTGCAGGCATTTCTGGAAATGGATTCAACGCTATTGCCAGTGACGATTTTGAAGCCATTAACTCCAACGGCGGATCCGGAGCTCTTATTGGTGATGATTTTGGAGTTACTTTTGGAGGTAACGGTGGAGCTATCGTAGGCGATGATACAGGCATTGCTTTCGGAGGAAACGGAGGTGCCATTATCAACGACGATTTTGGAATTGCTTTTGGAGGAAATGGAGGCGCTATTGCTGATGATGACTTCGGAGTTTCGTTTGGAAATGGAATTGGAGTAGGAGGCGGAAACGGAATCAATAATGGAGGCGGATTAGGAGGATTTGTCGGTAGAGCGAGTCACGGATTAGGATCTAATGTTGGACTATCCAGTGGTTTTGTAGGAGGACACGGAGGAATCAGTAAGTATGATACCATGAAGATGATAATAGTATTAGCGTTTTTAATGTACAAACATACCATGGAATTACCATTGTAATTATTGCTGTATCCAGATATTGTTATTGTTATTTTGTACATTTACTTAAATATTGCAACTCCACAGTTTCTCCAAAATAACAATATTTACATCATACACTGTTCTAATAGCATCTCTGTATGTTACTATACAAGAGGATCCGTCTCTATCGTTTTTACAATTGTTCCATTTGAAATTTCACAACTTATATAGGATTGATGGTTATGTTCCATTTTCATTTTGCAGTGCACAAAGGAGGATTTGGAGGCATTCAGAAGAGTGGCTTCATTGGAGGTAATTGTGTATTATGATTATATGTTTACCGTAAACAATAATATTATTCATTCATTGTTCACTATTTATAACTTTTCATGTTTTCAGTATATAATCTTGGTCATATCATTATGTATTACTTGCCACTGACGGCATGAGAAAAGCTAGTAAATTTAATCATATGTACAATAACGAGCCTGCACCCATTATACCTAAATGTTTTATTAATGCCATCACCAAAGTATAATGTTATAAATGAGGATTCGATGACTTTAATCAGCTTTGACACATTGTTCAAATTTAATTTCGAATCTAAAAGGACGCCAACAGATATTTTAATGTTTTTTGGTATTGTTGTTTTGCAGGACATGGAGGATTTGGAGGTTTTAAGAAAGGAAACCTAATCGGAGGTGATTGTTTATTTTAATTATACTTACCAGATGTAAAACATGCTATTGCTAGTTTAATGAAGTAATGTCCCGTAGCTGAAGCTCTTACATCTACAAAGTGTCGATTGATACACGTATGTGTTGTATACTTAGATATTAAGGTCTAAATGTAAGCGTCTTTCGTTTATTCCTACTCTCATTCATTTAGAGTTTGAATTGAGGCCTAGTTCACACTTCAATGACCCTGTGTATTTTCTTATTCTATTTGTTTTCCATGAATTATATTATAAACATTATGCTTAAAAATATTTTAACGTCATTTTGTTTTCCTTTTACAGGTGGATATTAATTCAAGCCAATCCAATTGCATTAGTCCCGTGCAAAGATGTAAAGGGGAGGGGGCCACGTATGATCACGTGATTATACAAACTTTGTCACATAAATACTGCGGTACCGGCGCCGCTTCTGACAAGTATTCATATATTTGTTCATGTTCCAGTTTCATGAACGGTTCTTATCTAGTGAGAATTCCTTGACCTTAGCTTTTACCATTGGGAAGTGTTGCTGAACTTTTAGGGAAAATCTGCAGTCAAGGAAACTTTTTTATTCTAAACAATGATTTACCACGGCAAATCTTAAGTTAATACGTTTCCTTTGGATAAGTAATATTCGTGAAACTGGGATTAGTTAAGTTATTTGAAATAAAATATTGTTGGTTATTTTATACATGTGTTCTCTGTTCTCTTCACGGTATGTTCAAATGTTTTGACTGACAGTGACGATTAAGCATCCATTTAAATGGATACATCATATATGGTGATTTATTAAGACTGGTATCATTAATAATTTACACAACAAGTTATGACTACTATATCATAGTTAGTTGAATAACTTGATTTAAAAAACAGATATCGAGTCAAAGGATAAAAATATATAAAAAAAAAACATGACCTAAACAACCAATGACTTAACCAACACATGATTTAACCAACACATGACTCAACCAAGCACATGATTTAACCAACACATGACTAAACCAACATGTGACTCAAACAAAATGTGACTTAATTAAAACATGATTTAACCAACATATGACCTAACCCACTGATTACTTAACCAACACATTACTCAACCAACATGTGACTTTACCAACACATGACTCAACCAATATATGACTTAACCAACACATAACTTAACCAATATATGACTTAACCAACTCATTACTCAACCAACAAATGACTCAACCAACATATTACTTAACCAACTCATGACCTAACCCACATGATGCATAACAAACACATTACTTAACCAACATGTGACTTTACCAACACATGATTTAACCAACACATGACTCAACCAATATATGACTTAACCAACACATAACTTAACAAATATATGACTTAACCAACTCATTACTCGACCAACAAATGACTCAACCAACATATGACTTAACCAACTCATGACCTAACCCACATGATGCTTAACCAACACATTACTTAACCAACATGTGACTTAACCAACAATTGTCTTAACCAACATATGACTTTACCAGTACATGATTCAACCTGCATATCACTTAACCAACATGTGATTTAACAAATTAACGTTTTAACCAACACATGACTTAACATACACATCACTTAACCAACATGCGACATAACAAATACATGATTTAACCAACACATGACTCAAGCAACATGTGACTTTACCAGTACATGATTTAACCTATACATCACTTAACCAACATGTGACTTAAAAAACACATGATTTAACCAAACACATGACTCAACCAACATGTGATTTTACCAGCACATGATTCAACCTACACATCACTTAACCAAAATGTTACTTAACATACACATCACCTAACCAACACATGACTTAACCAACACGTGACTTAACATACACATCACTCAACCAACATGTGACTTAACAAATACATGATTTAACCAATACATGACCTAACCAACTTGTGACTTAACTAATACATGACTTAACCAACATGTGACTTAACCAACACATGACTTAACCAACTTATGACCTAACCAACATTTGACTCAACCAACACGTGACTTAACCAACACATGACTTAACCAACACATGACTTAACCAACACATGACTCCGCCAACACATGACTTAACCAACATATGACATGGCCAACATATGACTTAACCAACACATGACATAACCAACACATGACTTAACCAACGCATGATTTGACCAACACATGACTTAACCAACATGTGACTTAACCAACACATGACTTAACCAATATATGACTTAACCAAAATATGACCTAACCAATATGTGACTTAACATACACATCACTTAACCAACATATGACTCAACCAACACATGACTCAACCAACACATGACTTAACCAACACATGACTTAACCAACATGTGACTTGACCAACACACGACTTATCCAAAACATGACTTAACCAACACATGACTTAACCAACATGTGACTTGACTAACACATGACTTAACTAACATATGACCTAACCAATACATGACTCAACCAACACATGACTTAACCAACATGTAACTTTACCAACACATGATTTAACCACCATGTGACTTAACATACACATGACTTAACCAACATGTGACTTAACCAACACATGACTTAACCAACATATGACTTAACCAACAGATGACTCAACCAACATGTGACGTAACCAACACATGACTTCATCAACATGTGACTTGACCAACACATGATTTTACCAACACATGACTCAACCATAATGTGACTTAACCAACACATGACTTAACCAACACATAACTTAACCAGCATGTGACTTAACCAACACATGCCTTAACCAACATGTGACTTTACCAACACATGATTTAACCAACATGTGACTTAGTGATATGTATGTGTTGCTCTTGGATTATAACATGTGCAGATTGTCTTTTACAGTGGAAACGTGTATACCTAGGTAGAAGTAAACTTACCTTACCTAATTATTGATGCTCCATCAATTGAATACATACATATATGTATATAGATTATGAACACATAATCTACCAACATTATCTAGGTATCTCAAAATGTAAACACTGAATATTTGATATACATGTCAATTTATTTTTCCAAAAAATGTATCTTTTTATCATAACCTATACTGTAGAACGTGCATGCCTCATACTACTAGTATAGTTATAATATTTACTACAGAACAAGTTGTGTTATCTAAATTGTAATTGTTATCATTCTTGGATTATACCATATGACAATAATATGCCTCTACAAAAGGAAAGATATAGCTTATCTAATTAGTGATGTTCTACCAATTGATAATATGTATATATATACAGCCGATATTTTTTTTAATCCATGCGTTATGGAATACTAGATATGCAAGTTTGTGACAAAACATATTTACAGTATCTTGAAATATGCACCTGTAATACATGTGTACAATGTATATAGTACTCATCGTAAAGGGATATGCATATACATGGCCGCACCATGTACAATGTAACCTTTCAATCAAACCCCTGCATTGTGTTTATTTATTGTATGAAGTCTATATATACTATAAAAAGAAGATGTTTTCTGTATCCATTTATTGCTGGGCCTTTCGAACCACGTGACTATGTAATCGTGCTAAAATGTATATACAAATGTACTTTACAAGTATGCTATTGATTGGTGTAACTAACGATATAAACTTCAGTGAAATGGTCATTTGTATGACAATTAATAACAAAAGATAATGTCACATACAGATTTGCATTTCATGCCATAATTTCACATACCTGAGTTACAAAATAATACAATCCCAAATACATATTTTACGATCAGCTGGTATCTTGGCCAAATGTAAAAAAAAACACGTGCATACTGTCTTACAAATTGCATGTTTGTGGTCTACCCCTTCCAATTAGCAGGTCAATATTCTGTATAATTGAATGTTATACTATTCTCAACATAAAAAGAATGACAAGAATTACTTGAGTCTTAACATTCTACAAGTAATTACTCATGATTATTGTATATGAAAATGTCAAATATAGGACTCTCATTATACAGTTGTGGGATCGCATAACATTACACGATGTGCGGTGCGCGCAGGATGTGTGCACGGTGTGTGAACGATGTGTGTACGAAGTGCGAACGATACAAAAATTGGACAATCATTCCTTGCGCACATTTGTACGGACGATCGACGAACGTTGGGCGATAACAATCGTGGTTGGTGTAAATTAAGGAATGGCTTGACAATATATACGGTTTCGTGTTTGAACATAAAATTAGATTTTTTAGTATGTTTCTATACTCTAGCTACATCTATAAGCTTATCATTCTATCTATACTTCTTAAATTTAGAAACGTTTTTTTGAGGGTTTTTTAAACGACCTTAATCGACACGTGTAAATTAACAACACTGTCTCGGCTACACAGGTAATCATTGCCACTTTTTACCTGGACCCTAGTTTGCCCCGCCCGGGGCACTTACGTAACTCGCCAAGGTGTGAAAACCAGATGAAGGCGAGCTATAGACCAAAAAGAATGCAAATAACAAATATTAAACGTCCAGTTGAGTTTTCATAACGGTCATACGGTGTCATATATCAGCTCTATGTGTCAAGTACAGGCCAGGTAAAACTCCGGTCACTCATCAAATTGTTATTTACCTGTTCTGTTACCGACGAACCAAACCCATTCTTGACAGTCTAACGGTCAGTGTATACTGTATTACACGCATTGTAAACTTGTACAAACTCTTAATTATAGCAGAGACGTATACGTCTCTGATTATAGTGATGAGAAATTACAGTGATATATACAGTGTACATAATTGCATACGAGCATTCCGTATTTTTTCCATTCCGTAATTGATCAACAAATTGTACCATATCGCACAGCTGTGCGGTGAGAAGCGCACAACGGGGCGAACGATTGTTAAATCGCACAGTTGTGCGCACCATGTGTGGACGATGTGCGGACGGTGTGTGAACGATGTATGCACGGTATTTTTTGTGCGTTGTGCGTTCCCACACCTGTAATTATATTCTCAATCAAAATACTCTATGTCAGATATATCTCATGAAATTGCATATAAATAATGTTGATTGGAAAGGGCGTACACCATAATTGAAGGCAAACCAAATCTTGTTCACTACTATGTTTGTGACGTTAATATCTATATTTAGTCTTACCATGCTGTTTCTAATCATGTTGATCCCGTATTGCTTGTTAAAGGGACATCACGCGAAAAGGCGTTTTTTTTTAATGAATGTATGTATTGTATGCACTTCCACTTATGTTACCACGCTATCCCCATATTCATAGTCCGTTCCAAATGTCCAGTTTGACCACTTGAATTGTTCGGGAAAGCCCTGCTAAAAATAGAGCCGATAACGTCACCTGACAAGGCAGTAAACACAAGTTGTGCGAGCGAGATGAAACGGTTTCCAAAGGGGCCCCCAGAGAGGGGCCGTCAGACAACTGTAACTTCTTACCGCACTATGACACCAAGTTATATGATTTCTAAGTCCGTATTCAAACTTATTGAACAGTAATTATTCATCATAAGAAGTTAATTGCACACTTGCCAATATTCAGAATTTAAATTTATTTAGCTTTAACATAAATGTGTTGCCAATAAAATTAAACAAGGGATGGGGCACAAGTTTTTACAATTTATCACAGCCTTCTCCCGTCATACAATTACAATTAAATGTCAACAATGATAATAGGCATAAAC